CTCTCCTTATTAACAGCAAAGCCATTTTAGCAGTTTTAAAATACCCATGCATATTGGCTGGCAAGCACTGCACTCAAATTCATGTTCTGCTCTTGTCCTAACAGAATTATGTCCTACAATGAGAAACACTGATTTTGGAGGGAGAAATGAGCATGTGAGAGACTGTACTTTATCATGAATGGGTATTTTCTCCATAATCTAAGCCTGACTTAGAAGAACATCACAGATGCATGGTGCATTGGACATGGAGCACATGCATGCATTTAAATCACATGTATCTTACTTTTTTCCTGATATAATTATGAAATATGTTCTTTTTGCATTCATAATTAGGGGGTGGAACAGATGGTGAAGGCTTAGTTTAAAATAATCTGTCATTAAAATAACCTAGCCTACTGGTAATTCTTCACTGTAACTGGAGGGAGGTCATAGGAAAAGAGTTTGGGGTAATTTTTTCTCCTCTTCTGCGTTGGAATGTAGAAAAAAGAACCACTAATTTCAGAAGACTTATGTACATGGGAATTGTCCCTATAAGGGCACCATAGTAAGGTTTTATTCTGTGAAAGTTGGCTGTAGTGGAATAGGCATGAAAAAAAAACAAGCAGAGACAAAACTACTTTAACAAATATAAATCCATTTAGCACAATGCATTAAACATTAGTACACCTTCAGTCATGAAGCTATAGTTAGTTTCATACCCTGCAAGGTAATAACCTCATCATTTGACAAATGCTGTTGGAGGCACTCAGCTTTTGGGGTTAAGAAACTGTGCCTTACACTTTATGTGTTATACTGATGTCAGGGGATATAAATTATAATTACAGGCATTATTATTCAAAGATGCTGTAGCTCCTGACTTCTATATCCAAGCCTCACTCCCACATATGTACCTCATAGACTTACTGGGATGTGACAAAGGAAATCTCCTATCAGCCCTGTCAGGATGGCTAAGAACTGGTTTTAGCAATAAGAAAACTGTCTTGATAAATCAGATATTTGCATGCCTTTAAAATGTCTGTTTTACTGTTTCTTCTAAGATTTTGTTCTCCATCTGCTTTGAAGAAAGCAGATAGTATTCAGCATGACTTTATAATAAATCTTCTCAAGGAGGGACTAGCATTAACATTTGTGTAGGTTCTTTTTCATCTTAATCCAACCTTAGTTAATAATCAGAAAATTCTATATAGTGAGTAAGAAGATGTAATTAACCCTTTGACCCCAGAATCTTAATTGGTGCCCGCTGAAAACAGTGGGCAGTTAAGAAAAAAATTTTTAAAGTAGCCTCCAGTGATAGTATATAGTAACAGCTATATACTGCTATATATTAAACAGCTCAGTATATAGTAGCTTTCTCAATTCATATTTTTTTTAAATTCCACAGAATTTTCAGATTAATCACATTTGTTTCCCAAGATGAACTGATTGAATGTTTTCTTCTTCCTGCCACCTCCCTGGCAGGCTTTATTATTCAGAGATGCTGTAGCTCCTGACTTCTGTATCCAAGCCTCACTCCTGCATGTGTACCTCATACACTTACTGGGATATGACAAAGGAATCAAAGGTATCAAAATGAGATACCCACATTACACCAACACTGATGCCACCTTTAGAACTTCTCTAAGCAGCAAAATACAGCTACCTATAGGCGGAGATCACCCTGAATCACACGGTCATGGTTATGTCAGTAGGGACCTTGCCCATCCACTAGAGACCAGGTTTCATATCCCATTCTTTATTTGAAAGGTAATAAAACCTCAGTAATGGACATTTATGTCACACTATAGATGTAAGTGACTAAAATGATAAATATAAAGGTGAAAAATATGGTTAACTAACCAGTTTTATTTTTTTACCTGCATGATGCAAACAACTAATCTGACTAGTTGTTTTCTACCCACACAAAATTGGCTATTACTTTTAATTGAATTGACTGGATACTTTGTGTCATGTGGACATAGACTCGTTTTTCTCTCACTAGGAAATTGGAACATGTGCTAAAGCCTCTATTTTTGCCAAATAAAACTGGCTGGTTCTTAGATCACTGCTGCTTAATAGAATCAGATGCTTAGCCTCCAGATATTTCTCTTCTTTGCTATGGTGCCGAAACCTCCTCTAGTATTTTAGTAAATACATGAGACATGAACCTACTGTTAAAAAAAAATCACAGGAGGGGGAAGGAAAGGACATCTGTAGATGGCAAATGAATGGCACTGGATGTTTTGGAGAGCTGTGAAAGGGTGCTTTTTGACTCAGCTCTCCCAAATGTTAGAAGATAGCCCAGACTATGTTAGACATCTGTGGCATCAGATTTTGCAAATACTCAAAGAGCTCCATAAGCAGGACTCTTGGAGAAAACACTCGCCATCGCTCAGGCATTCTAGCACGTGTGATACAAGGGAAAGAGCATTAGGCTTGGAGGTAGAGCTAGATTTATTAGGTTGTTAGGTGTTGGCTAGATAAAGATGAATAAGACATTGCCCTGCTCTCGAGAAATTCAGTCTCTTCAGGAGTTGAATAAACCAACCAGAACCATACAATGCCATAAATGATTTAGTAATATCATTGGCATGTAGCAGATTTAATCCTGGCTTTGCCACTAGCTGGCTGTGTGATCTTGTCCACCCACTTAGCCTCTCTGTTCCTCAGTTTCCTCACCTGTAATATGAGGGTTTGGACTACAGGAGATTATGTCTGTGGCAGCTTCATCAGTCCTTTCTTCTCTCAGATAGTCTTATAGTTGTCATTTGTCCCCATAGAAGTTCTCCTGTGATCTTTGTGTCCTTTTAATCTGACAGTGGCATTTTAAGATTTGAGAAGGTGGCTTACATAGCTCTCTGTGATTGGATGCCAGGCCATAGTTATTAGGTTGATTGGAAAACCTACCCAAGGCCTTGACTCCATGGGGAAGGTCAGGAGTGGAAGAATTTTAATCCTCGTGAGTAATCCTCAGTATACATGTTTGAGGTGACGACACGTTGACACAAGATCCTTACCAACCATCTACAAAGGAGACTTCTCTCCCTTTGCACTGGTTTGTAGTAAGGTCCTACTATACAGGCCATACCCTAAGCTTACAAGGTTGGATCTCCCCTGCTCCGGGGGGTTGGACATTTTGTCAGAGGTAAGGGCCCAGCGAGCAGTATGTTGTTCCCTGTGGTGGAACACGGCTGGCCCCAGGGCAGAAATTACAGAACAAAGGTAGTGAAGTGACCTCTTGTAGAAGTGACTTAGGAACTGTCCTGTCATCCCACTTCCCATTTGTCTCCTACTGCTGGAAACATCCTATTATATTCAAAATCAAGTGATGATTTTTAAGAAATCATAGGCTGCCTCTTAGTATAAATATTTTGACTTAAGATATGTTATGAAATGTATCCCTTCATTAATTTACACATATCCATTGCAGAATCTTTATTTTTAGCTGAAGATATTACAGTTATTAAGTCCAGCTGTCAAAGTTTGAATCTTAACTCCATCTCTAACTAGGGACAGGTATGTTGCCTAACTTCGCTAAGCCTCAATTTCCTTGTATATAAAATGGAAATAATGTAATTACCTCAAATGGTACTCATGAAAACTAAAAGAGACAGTACATGCAAACTGCTTATATATATTGATTAATAAACATAAGCTATTATTATTATACTATCTTGCCCAAAATTTGTCTGTCATCTAATATGCTTTTTTTGCAGAGCAATACAATGTGACTTTTGAAATGTTTACAGAATCCACTAAATCAGAAAAGGAGGTGGGGTGCTACCCACAGTTTCTGACCAGTGGGGCTATGAAAATATATCAGAAAGTACAGAATCCAAATTTCATGTGTTCATGTAAATATATATATATATATATATACTTCATTTATACATATATAGTTTTCAAAAAAATTTAGTTTTTAAATGGCTGAAATTATTGCTGAGATTTGGGGCAGTCCATTTTTCTAACTGAATTTTACATGCCTCTTCCAGTTTTCTATATTTAAAAATGTTGTCAATAACTTACTGTTGCTACCTACCTTGTTCTCAATGTAGGTTTCCTGTATTTCCAAATTCTCAGCCTTTGTAAATATCACTAATCTTTAAAACTTTTTTCCCTGTGCAAGTAGTTCTTGTGTAATCTGCTTGGTTAAAAATACACAAATAAAGCAAAACAAAAGACATGAGGATGATGGGATGTATGAAATACACTTGGGTTGCAAGAATCTGAAACAAATTTATTCACAATTGGGAGTCCACGATGATTTACACATTCATGAGATTGAACATGTAACCCTCCATTTGCAAAGTGGGCTAAGTGGGCTAAGGTTTTAGGAGTTATAGATGATATGTAGCATCCTTCTCCCTCCACCCTTTCTTTTGTTTCCATTTCAGGAGTTGTATTTGAAACTAGATCTGTCACAATACAACTTTAATATAGAGTTTTGCAAAACAGGGGTACAATTTGTAAGGTTTCAGCCTATAAACATTCACCCATAATGTATTGACTTTTCCTATTTGTTCTAACACAGAAGGCACTGAGAGGCAGGTAGGCAGAATCCTTTATTAATTAGCAAATTATTGACATCCATAGAAGCTCAAGTGGTGATTTTACTTGCTCTTCATATAGGAACGCTTTTTTTCTCATTTCATTACAATTTCCAGTCCTGTTCAGCTATTTAATGGAGAATCTTGCTGATTTAATCTCAGTAACTACTGAATCCAAAAAAATAAAGTCAACATCACATAAAATCAGCATGACCTGATTTTGTGCATAAATGTAATGTATCTTGATCAAAATGACAAGAGACATAGGAAGTCCCTGAAATAAAGGAAAGCTTTAGTCTTAATTCAAACCTTTAATTTGTTCATGTATAATGCAGTACTAAAAGATCTTGGGAGTTTTGTTAAACATGAAGGAAAAAGTGGTATAAAATTCTGTATGTTTTGCTTTGGATAAGATGCCTCCATCATTCATTTGTTTGTTTGTTTATTAATCTATTTATATATTTATTTTTTCTGCAGTCCCTGGATGGCTTTGTATTTGCACTAAATCAAGAAGGAAAATTTTTGTACATTTCTGAAACAGTCTCCATCTACCTAGGCCTCTCACAAGTAAGTAAAATGATTTGGATTCTTGACAGCGATTGTGAAGGCTCCTTCAGCCTCATGCTTTTCCCTGTTCAGTGGATATTCTGTTTAGCATGAATTATCACATTTATTCTTTAATGGCTCTACCTGACTCTTCTCACAAAGTCAGCGAGAAAATTGTATAGCAGTTCAAAATGTTCAGAATAAACTTGGGCTCTAAAACTTTAGTCCCCCCCCACCCCCACCGCTTGAGGATCATTATTAATTTATTGAGAACAAATGAAGTTTCTTCCCTCTCTTGTTTTGAACTTGGAAACCTCTGTGTCTGGTAGGAGAGGGACACACTAATAGTGCTTCCCTTGTGTCCTATTACTGGATGTTTATGGAGTACCCTGCGTTATCCTGGGAGCTGACACAATGACAGGGAGTCATTTGGAGTCAAGAAATGTGGAAAGAGACCATTAAAATGTGTTGCAGGAAGGGTTCCAGCAAGGATATGTTTTGCTGCCTTTGCAAATGCTTCCTAATGCTTAAAGACAACTTCATAAGAAAAGATAGCCTTTCGTTATTTGCAGTTTAATTAATTACTCACCTGTGTCTGTCAGAGGTTAAAAGAAAAGAAGATGGACAGATGGCATAGGAAACAAAATCCTAGATATTAGTTTTTGATATTCCCGTGGAACACAAAAATTTTACTTTTGTTGGATTCTAAGACACAGGCTGCATCTACAGAATGCCAGAATACCCTGAAGAAAAGTTTGCAATTCATCTAATTATCCAGATGTTTTCTCCATAAAAATGGTGAACATCTGGATATGGTGCCCATACAGGTGATTGGCTGAGTTTGACCCTTTTCATCTGGTGGTTTGGTGTGAGGAAAACACAGGTGGGAGAGATTTTGTACATATGTGATGATCTGCCACGTTAGGTAATCTACTTCTCATTCAGTCGCCCCTGGAGATAAAGATGGGGATAAGATTTGTCTGTCTCCTCTTAAGCAAGATCCACCCCAGACTCATTGCTTCTGAAAGCTGGCACTGCTCTAAGGAAGCACTCAGTGTGGCTGAAACATTCTGGCTGTTAGTGGGTTTGCTGGCTAATAGCTAAATCAAGAAAGACATTGGGAAATAATAAAGAGAGATATTTGGCATTGGGGGAGGCAGAGACTGCCAAAATTGATTATTTACTGTTGAGAATCCAAGCAAAGGTCCATTAACTCTTCCTTGAAGAACATGCAAGCTATTGGCTGTAGTTTATAGAGTAATTCTATTTTATGTGGGTTTCAGCAGACCAAATGATAGAAACTGGGCTATTGTCTACTCAGTATTAGTATTCTTACATCTCATTGAGATCTCTGATTTTTTAATAGCCTTTAATAGACTTTAAACCTTTCTTAATCTGTTTGGGAGTTAATATTGAGAATTTCCAATTCTGAAATTAGTGTGCCACCATGTTTATACTGTATTGAACTGGAAGCGCTACTATTTATTGTTCTGCACTGCCCATATTCATCTGCTTTAGGCTGAGTAGCCAACAAAGTTTAATAAGCCAGTGAAGAAGAAGGATGAATAATTAGTTTAAGCAGGTAAATGCTAATTAGGGAACTCCTGAAAAGCATCCATTATATACTAGCTCAAAACACATTTTACAGCCCTGGTTAGTGGTGTAATCCAAATTCTGTCAAGGCAACTGCATTTTCTGTAATTGAGATGTGTATGTTTGCTTTGCATAACAGATGGCTCTGTATGCTTAGACTGATAGCTAGGAAAATAATAATTGCATTATTCTGGCCAAAAGAATATTAGCTCTTGGGTTTTGGCCATTTCACTCAGTCCTCCTGCCAGCACAGCATATGCACATATATGGATTGGATTTTCAAGGAAATTGATGCATCTGGAATAGTGTGGCCATCTGAAATATCATCTGTTCAAGAAAAAGTTGGCTTTAACCCTGTGCTGGTTTTGCCTTTAAAGCAGTATATCTCACTGCTTCTCTACTGTAAGGTTAAGTCAACTTCTTTCCTAAAATCTCAGACAAACAATTGAGGTGTGTATAGAATGAAGCAGCTGTGTAGACATGGTACAGTATCTGTCAGCTTCTGTGGAGTCATTCTCTGCTTTTGTATGTGATGGGTTGTAAAGTGATTATAATAGTCAGCATCTTGACTTACCCAGGGGTAGACATGCCCCCAAAGCACTGTTGCCTTCTGTGGCAGACACGTTTGGTGTTGCTAGAAACTGTCAAATATGCAGGTAGAGGCTATGAGGTACAAGACAGGAGGTCTTTGTTTGGAGGTGTTATGCACCTGATATCATGAAAGGTAAATCACTAAAAAGTGATTTTTGCATATACCAGTGTATGTATTTAGAGTTCAAAACTGAAGTTTGAGAGTAGTTCTAAGTTAACATGCAAATAATCTGATAAGAGCATGGCATATTTTTTAATGCCCAAAGAATGAGAGGGAAAAAAATCAGCGCTAAAACTTAGGGAGAGGATTTCCAATCCAATTGACAGCCTGAGTCCTGATAGCATAAGTAAGGTTCCTGAGACTTAACCCTTCCCAAGTTTCTTCAGTGCCCTTTCTCAGTCATAGGGGTGTGGGCTGCTCATGGGTGACACACAATGTAAAATGTACTCAAGTTATTCAATTAAGTAAATACTTAATCTTTTACAAACGTGTGTGTGTGCACACACACATACACACCCCCTTAATTAGCTGCAGACCAAGTACTCTGCTCATGTCCTACAACTTTGGCTCAGTGGTGATTCCATCAAATTCTAGACAGTCATAAGGAAACTATAAAGTTATGTTTCCTCCTGTCCCTTTTAAATGGTGCTATTAAATAAAGACAGTGTGTAACTGCATCATCAAAGATTTATCCGGTGAAATTCTTGAGGAATCCTGTGAGCATATCAGTTTGTTAGAGCATAATTGTACCTGCATTTGTAACTCAAGATATCCCTTCCTCAGTTTTATTTTCTCTCAACATGTAAATAAATATGGTGGCTCTAAAATGGCTTATGTTCAGGAAAGAACTAGGATTCTTTTTTTGATTCATGAGAAAACTGAGTAGACAAACTTCTACTCAGCTCTGTTGTATGGCCCAAATATAGAGACAACCAGAGCAGATTTTTTCATCTCCACTTCACTGATGTGTGTCCAGGGTGTGTGCATGCCAGTTATTCTCTTTGAAGTCTTTTCATATTGTCATGATGATGGGAATAAAGTGATCTATGATGATGTCTGGACCTTCTCACCAGCCCCTTTGACTTTGCCAGAGATATATACATATTTAAGTTAACCTCCAATGTGGTTGTGGGTTGTAGAAATATGCACTGTTGATTTGCTTCCCTGGGTAAAAATGATTCTGATTACTCACTGTGAAGCCTTATCTTAAAGGAAGATCCCCAGATATCAATGTTGAGTTGGGTTTGCATGGAGATTAAATGATGTCTTACAGCTGGTGATGGTGTTCAGCACCGCTAAGGACAACTCTGTCTTTAGCTATAATGAAATAGAAGCAAAAATGAAGAAAGGAGACAGTGGATTCCCTAACACTGAAAATGTAGCAGTGATATGCGGCCAGCCTTTATGTAATCTCTTGTAACGTGTAATGGGTTTAGTCACCAAAGAATCCAAAAGAGACTTTATATGACAAATAAAAAATATTTCTAGTTTGATACAAGATTTAAACCTTAGAAAAATATTTATTTGTTGGCTTATACCCTTCTCTTTCCACAAAGGAAATAGCTTACATAAACCGATGCCATAAAAAAATAACAGCAAAATAGAACTAAGGTATAAATGAAAAAAGATAAAAGTAATCTATAGCCACATGGTAGGAGAACACAATAGAGGCTTATAAAAAGATAAGAAGGGATAAGTATAGTCTGATAAAGCTTCAAATTTAGCTATGAGCTTCCTGGTAACCAAAGCAAAAGGAGAAATATAGTCACCACCAAAAATAAGAAAGCATCAATTCTAAAGGAAAGTGAAGTTTTCTGGGACTGGAATATAAAAGTAAATCTGAAATACAATTTCTGTGGGGTATAATATGTGGATTATGGCATACTGGTTTGCTTCCATTGGAGCCCAGCCCACATTCAGAGCAACGCTCTCATGACCCATATAACAACATGAACACACATATTGCAAATCTCACAGGCAGGCAGGAGACTCCTCCCTTTCCAGATGTTTCCAGATCTTTTCGAGAGTGGGGTTCCAGCATCCAGGCCTTACAGTACAATAGCATTGACTGGTTTGATGGTTTATATGGTTTTGTAAATCAGCTTTCCCTCATTCATAAGTGCAAATCTTGCATTTTCTTTTAAATACTGATGAGAAATTCAATATTACAGTTGCCAGAGACTGAGGACATGGGTCTCAGCTCACCAGAGGATAAAAATGTACTCATATTTTCTGAATTTTCCTTGAAAGTGAAGTGAGAGATGATGATTCCAATGCCTGCCTATGCCAGCAAAATGCTTTCAAGTTAACATAGAGCCCTATTTAAAATAAAAAAGGATCTAGAGCAAACTGGGAAATTAACAGATGTTTACATTGTGATGTCATTAGAAAATACCCTACAGCTAGCTCAGCCCTCTCTTGAAATGCATCCTAATCACTCCCACAGCCCACAGTCCCAGCTTGACTGTGAGTCACTTCCTTTCTTCTCACCAAATCCCCATCCTGGTAGAAGATACTCCCTTGACGTTGTAAGCCATCCAGAAGGTAGCTGCAGACAAGGTTACACACTGGCTAGTTTCAAGGAAGCTTGCTGGAAGGGGCAGGGTGACTATAGATCTAAGAGCTAATAGAGGTGAAGGTGAAAAGAGGTAAATGATTGCTTTAAATTTGGTCCTTTTTTTTTTAAGCCACGCAGGTACATTTACCCTAAACTCCTTTACCCATTCTGTTGTTCATTTCCATATTTTAGATTTCTCTGCATTTGTTATATAGAATGGCAAATAAAATTACAGCTACAGCACACAAGTACAAGGTCAAATAAATGACAGAGCCCAGT